TACAGGCTGTAGAGGAAGCACAGTGGCATCCGCTTCTGGGGAGGCCTCTGGAATCTTACAATCACGGTAGAAGACCAAGTGGGAACTTGCATGTCACATGGCCAGAGCAGGAGCAAGAGAGAGACGGGGAAGATGCTACACACTTTTAAACCTCAGGAGAACTTACTCACCATCATGAAAATAGTACCAAGTTGATGGTACTAAACCGTTCATGAGAAATCCACTCCCATGATCCAATCAACTCCCACCAGGCCCCACCTCCAACTGGGGATTACATTTCAACATGAGATTTGGGTGAGGACACACATCCAAACTATATCAAGGGCATTGCAATGGGAATACCTATATAACACCATAGTAAGCTATGTGTGTATTCAGGGAGGTAAAGGACCACAAAGGTTTTTTAAAGGAAAAATGAGGATCAACACATAATTGTTTTGAGATAATTATCCTGGCTACAAGGATCAATAACAAGGGTGACACTAATCCAAGGCTGGACAGGCAGTTGCTGGACAGATGCCTTCAAAGGAGTAATTTTTGTGTAAGGTTGCAATGGCCTTTGTGCAAGGTTGCAAGTTTTGCAGTTTTTTATGATAGTTTTTGTTAATCAGGTATTTATGCATGAGTACTCTCTCTTCACAGCTTTTCCTGGCTCAATTTATCAGGCTTTTTTGTTTTGTTTTGCTTTTTATAAACATAAGTGACTCCATTTTGATCTGACAACTTTAACATTGACAACCATGAAAGATTTCTGACTGCAGTGACTGTCATTGACTGTTGGCCTCAGCTGGTATATTCTGAAATCTATTACTGTGTTTCCACCAAAACCATGCTTCCCATGAACTGCTCCTAGCCAATGATTGAGCATGGCAGAGATCCTAGGAAGGCCCATTCTTGGAGTATGTGGGATTCCCCTGATGGCTCAAGGACTTCTTATCTGCCTTGCTGAACTTCCTTAGAACTGCACTGCAATCCAAGTCTTCTCCACTCAACTTTGCTTTCCTTTCTTTTTCAAAAGGATTATACCAGCATCATGGTCTCTTGGCTCTTCCAGCCTTCCATGAGTTCCTGCCTGTCAGGCAGCTGCTTCTCAGAGGACTGAGACACATTTCTGTTACTCCAAGAACAATTCTGTTACCAAGGACCAGTGCTGTGGTCCTTGGACCAGCAGCACTGGCCTCATTAGAAATGCAGAATGTCAAGCCCCACCCCAAACCTCTTGAATCAGAATCTCATTTTAACAAGATGATTCATATATGCATTATAATTTGAGAAGCACTGATTTAGATGATTTGGATTTTTCAGCAAATCCTTTAAATCTCAGTTTGGAAACTAAGTCTTTGCCAAGGTAAATATTTGGAATCACAAAGTAACAGATCATCTGTGTCCTGCTTTTTATAAGTCAAAGCCCAGCAAAGTTAAGGGACTGGTTCAAGGTCATAGATGAGATTAGAAGACAGCCAGCACTAGAAGCCAGGTCTCTTGCCACCCAGCACTCTGCTGTGAGCAGGCTATTTGCTGTAAATATGTATTGTTTAGCGTGGTAGCAGTGGAAATAAGGCTAGTTGTGGTAGAGTACAAAATATATTTGTTCTTTGTTCTGGGTTCCTGGCACACAGTGTCTAAAACCCTAGAAATTTCTTAAGTGATAGTTTCTTTTAAAAGTTATTTCTAACACACCCCACCCTTTAAGAGTATCTTTTGTTACTCATAACTGCTCTTCGCAACACCTGAGTTTATGCTAACAAGGTGATTCAGGTGGGGTCCCTAGCTAGGTTAAGGATGCGTGCTGGTTGTCTGAAAGACCAGACTAGTGAATAGAGGGTGGGAACTTTCAGCCAACCCCAACCTCGGGGGAGGGAGGGTAACTGGAGACTGGGTTGTAAAACCTCTTGAATAATGAGATAAGGAGTGCCTCTGGGTTGGTGAACACATCAGATGCTGGGCAGGTGGTGTGCTGCCTCCCTCCATACCGTGCATCTCTTCCCTGTGGCTGATCCTGAGGTTTATCGCTTAGAAATAAGCTGGTAAATGTAAGTAAAGTGTTTTTCTGAGTTATGTGATTTGTTCTGGCAAATTACTGAACCTGAGAAGGGGGTTGTGGAAACCTTCATATTTATAGCTGGTTGGTTAGAAGTTCTGGTGGCCCTTGGAACTTGCAACTAGTGTTTGAAGTGGGGGCAGTCTTAAAGACAGACCTGAACTTGTGGAGTCTGTGCTAAATCTGGGGAGTTAGTGTCAGACTTGAACTGGATTGTTGGATGTCCAGTTGATGTTGGAGAACTGGTATAGAAACATGATATGCATTTGTTTTATCAGAAGTGGCCTCTGAAAAAAACATATTAGTCCAAACTCAGATGTGCTGTAAGTATAAAATACACACTAGATTTTGAGGATTTAGTATGAACAAGGAATATATTTCATTAGTTTTTTTTGTATTGTTTACGCATTAAAATATTTTTGATATATTGGAGTAAATATATGGTAAAAACAAATATATTAAAATTAATGTCATCTTTTTTTTAAACTTAAAGATACCTATGTGGCTTGCATTATATATGCTTGATGGTGCTGCTGTAAACCCTATCTCTTCATCAACACTGTTTTATTCACTGCTTAATTAATAGCTTTGGCTGGGATTGCTGAGGGCACTTCCCTGTTATCAACTTGGGATCTTTCAGAAATTCTTTATGGGATGATAGGGCTACTTAACAACTCTTACAAGAATCCCTGATTAAATACCTAAAAATGTCAGTTTCCCTTGAGAAGCAAATCTGCCATGTTATTAGCAGTTTAAGCTCTAGCTCTGGGGTGGAGACAGTAGAGTGAAGGGGTTTGGGAGGTGGGAATAAAGGATTTGGGTCAAAGGGGTTGGGAAGTGACTTTATGCTATGTGCTCCTTTGAGTTTGCATCTTTCAAGAGCCCATATTAGAAGGGTTTTGTCACTGGGACCACAGAAGGAAGGGCCCTGTTAAGGCTCTTGCAGGCAGCCAAGCCCTGGTCTTTCTCCCTTGGAACTGTAAAGCAAAAAAGTACGAGAGACGGGTCTCAATCAATTTAGAGATTTATTTTTCCAAGGTTAAGGATTGTGACCCAGGACACAGACTCAGGAGGTCCTGAGAATACAAGCCCAAGGTGGTTGGGTTAAAGGTTCTTGTTTTTATATGTTTTAGGGAGACATAAGACATCAACCAATGCATGTGAAGTACAAATTGGTCTGGCCTGGAAAGGCGGAAGCTTATAGGTCACAGGTGGATTCAAAGATTTCTGATAGGCAATTGGTTGAAGGAGTTATTATCTAAAAGGCTGAAATTGAGAGTCTAGGTTAAGATAAGGGGTTGTAGAGACCTAGTTTCTTATGTAGACGAAGTCTCATAGGTGGCTGCCCTTAGAGGCAACAGATAGCAAATATTTCCTATTCAGACATTTAATAAAAGGCACTAGACTCTTAGCTAATCTCTTCAGGATCAGAAAAAGACCTGGGAAGGGAAAGGGATCCTCTATAGAATGTAAATACCCCCAAGATACAGCTTTGCAGGGCCATTTCAAAATATGTAAAAGGAATGTATTTTGGGATTAAAAAAGCTTTGATTTCCTTTAGGGCTTACTATCTGTTATGTGATGCTATACTAGAGTCAGGTTGGAATTTGGTATTTTATTGTGACAGTCTGTTTTGTCAGTCTTAAGATCTGTTTTAATGTTAATGCTAGTCTGTTGTGTCTAAACTCCAAAAGGGAGAGGCTGTAATGAGGCCTGTCCACCTCCTTGCCCCAGCATCATGACCAGAACTCGTTTTTCAGGTTTCTTTGGAACTCCCTTGGCTGAGAAGGATCCATTCAGTTATCTGGGGGTCTTAGAATTTTATTTTTGGTTTACAGAACCCAGTATTCTCCCCTTTTACAGTTAAGACCTGAGGAATGAAGGGCATCCAGATACTGACACTGTGAACACAGCTTCTACTCAACCCCTAATCCCAGTTGTTTCCCGCCTGACTGAATCTCAGGGACACAGCAATGCGTAATGGTAGCTGTTGAGAGGCCCAGGACCAAGGAAAGGCTTGAGGGCCCTTGGCTTAGATCAGCATGCTCTTGAGACTGAGGAGAACCGAAAGCTCAGGGAATATGTCACTGTCTCACCTTGAGCCTCAGTGGCTCTTTGGGGTCCTCTTGCTTGGCTCAGAGGACTCTGGATGTCAAAGGACTTAAAGGCTCAGCCTGAGATGAAAACTTGCATTCTCTGTTGGCTACATGAGGTAAACTCATGGGCTTAACCAAAGAAGTACTGTCTAGAACTGAAATCACTGATCATTTGTGCTGTTTAACAATTCCCTGTTTGGGAGGCCGAGGAGAGCAGATCACGAGGTCAGGAGATCGAGACCATCCTGGCGAACACGGAGAAACCCCGTCTCTACTAAAAATACAAAAAATTAGCCGGGCATGGTACCAGTTATTTGGGAGGCTGAGCCAGAATGGTGTGAACCCGGGAGGCAGAGCTTGGAGTGAGCTGAGATCGCGCCACTGCACTCCAGATCCTGGGTAACAAAGCGAGACTCCGTCTCAAAAAAAAAAAAAAAAAAATTCCCTGAAGCAGAAAAATCTGCTGCTCAGACTTCAATGTCTCATGCCTAAAATTTTCACAAATTACTATATACTCTAGGTGGTGGAATGGACCCAGAATAGGTAAGGGACTTAAGCAATTTCAAACAAACAGCTTATTAGACAGCGGTAGGAGTGGCAGCACATGTGAGAATCTTGGCCTCAAGTCTCTTACCTAAACTCTGCAGAAGTGTGTCTGGAACCCAGAAGCTCATGCTAACATGTTAAGTATCCCTGGTTACTTCTTGAGCAAAGGGCAGTGATGACATTAGGAGAATGAAGGCACAAAGTGGGCCATGCTTTGTTTTATCCTTGAACCTTTAGTCCCATGTATGAATCCTGAGTGTTACCCTCCTGCGTGCTGTGCACTACAGAATGAACTTCAGTTCACAGTAAATGAAGGATGCTTTTTCTTAAGAAATAAATTTAATTCAAGGTGGTTAGTGAATGTGAGGCAATGTAATGCCTTCATGAAAGTTAAAATAGTCCAGTTACAAAAGAAGCACTGTGTATAGTCTCAAATAGCTGAAGGTACAATGGGCTCCATATTTTACAAAGTACAAAAAATTATTTCATATACAAAGAAAAATACAAATAATGTGCAAAAACCATTTTCACAGGTGGCAATTTATAAAATGGAAATGATAGAAAAGTCTTTCATTCTTAATTATCCCCGAATTTCTTATATATTAACACAGTTCTATTTCCTAGTGTGTAGACAATTTTAAATTTGAAATTCTGACTTATTTTTAATCTACAAAGACAATGTATTTTTATTTTTAAAAAAGGGAACCATTTCATTATTGAAATCTTATGAATGCATCAGTTAATTTATATTAAATTATAAGCAGGCTATCTGAAAAACAAGGATATAGAAATCATATATACACATTTTTGAAATATTAGTTTAGTATTTAACATATTAACATTTCAAAACAAATGCAATGATCTAGCTACCTATGACGCCAGCTGGTGTCAGTGGCTGTAGCAAAGATGCTGTTTCTGTTTACCATGAGCAAACAGCATTTCTTGGGTCTTAAGCTAAACAAACACAAGTTATGAAAGTAAAGAAAATCTAAAGACAGTTCTTACTTTTCATGTGGAGAAGTGTAGTTTGGGTATCCAGTCATGCCACAGTGTGACTGTGGTCAACACAGCCCTTGTCACAGGTGTGTGTGGTCCTAAATAGCTGGCCTCTGTCTTTCCAACATCTTCACTTCATTGGGAGTTCAGTGCAAGTGTTTGTTTTGTGAGTTAGTGCATTCAGCTTTTTTTGCATGTTATTTTGAAAAAGAAACTGTCAGGAAGCAGAAGATACATAAGAACACAAGGCCCTGGATCCTCAGAGCACCTCTGGTCTAGAGAATTCAATGTTTTGGATAGAGAATTTAATGTTTTGGAAGTAGTGTTTTCCTGCATTGGGCTGGTCATTGTTGTACCATTCCCTGGATAATCTTTTTCCATCAGAATAATGCTGTGTGCTCCCTCTTTGCCTGCTACTGAACAATGACATCTCTTGTTGTGAACCCCAATGGCAGAGAAGGGACCATGGAAGCACCTTTTGGCAGCACCAGAGAACTGAGCATCTCAAAGGTCAGGCAGTACAAGTAGATGCCTCTCATAGGAAACCTAGTCTAGGTAGAATATGAGACAATCTTGGAGGGTTTTGATTTTTGCTTGTTAAACAGGTCTCCAAGCAAATTATGACCCTGGAGAACAAAAAAGGATCTATAGCTTTCATGAAGGACCCAAGTAGGTGGTAGCCATTTTGCCTGGGTGAGGTTCACAGTTGGCTCAGGAGACATCTTCTGATCATTAACCACTAAGACCCTGTTAGAAAAATGTAGTGCAAGATATAGGGAGTGCATGGGGCTATTGACCAGACCTGTGTGAAACATCTATTCAGGTTAAGTAGATATAGCAACCCCTGCAAGAAGGGACTGGGCAGGAGAACCTCAGGCCCTGGGATAACGTGTCGTTAGCTCCTCAAGGATCCATGCTTTTTTTTTTCTATCTGGCAGCATGAGTTCCTCTATTTCTTCGGCATAGGTTGACCATAGGCATCAGGCATCAGAGATACAGCTCTGGATCCTGTCCATCCATTGCTGGGCACTCTGTCCATCCTGGGCGCAGAAGTTATACACACGTTTGCTGGTCTTAAGCTACAAAACCAAATGACAGAGAACCAGAGATGAAGGGCAGGGCTGTTTTATAGATTTGGGTAAGTGGTAAATCAGTCCCTGTGACCTTTCTTTTCCATACTGCCCCAGAACCTCTGTATGAATTTTTCTCCTCAACTACCATACTGTTACTGCCTTTACTTTTCTGGTCTTTAGAGTCATAGGGGATGTTGATAGAAGGGTACTGGCAGGAAAAGGAGACACACTGAGAGCGCCTTACTTTGCATTTTCTTAGTGTCTTCTTTGACTAAGGAGGAAGGGTCGGCAATGAATGGTGCCTTTAACCTCTCCCATGCACTGCACCAATGCACTAAAGGTGAGGGAGCTCCTTGTGCTCCAGGGGGATGCCTGAGATTCATCCATACCATAAAGTTGACCTTTGTGTCCCCTTTCTTCAGTTGGAGCCATATTGGAAGCCCACTGTCAGGAAAACGATCTCATGGCCTGAGCAGGGCAATAAAGGATGACCTATCTTCTTTATGAAGCCCTGCTTGACTCCAGGGACTACATAAGTCCCCTTCTATTATGTGGCCTATAAAGTGCCCCATAGCCCACGTGAGGGCTGCTGAAGATGTTAGGGTAGATACTTCTCATGTGTGCCTAAGGACAGTCTTTTGTGGGTTGTCAAGCATGAAGACCGCTGAATACTAGGGAAATAGCATCTGTTCTTGAAAGTAGGTAGTAACTGAACTAACAGCATTTAACAAGGAGTTCATCTGTTTCCATGTGCGGCTGGACTCCTTTTGCATAAAGCAGTATACAGCTTTTCTGAGACATACAGACAGGAAGAGAGGACAGCCTTGGGGTCAATAATGCTGAGTTCAAGCTCTGGAACAATTCCCATAGCCAAGGGGGTCTGTCATCCATCTGTAGTCACCACCAATTGCTCTGAGGGCTCCATCATTCTTGGAGACAGATAGAATGATGTGCAGACAGAGCCAGGAAAAGAGAAGTAAGATCAACTTACATCAAAGAAAGCCTTGTCACTTGTGTGCTTCGGGGCTCCCATGCTGGGGCCAGCAGGGATGACCATTTCTACTTCAGCCAGATCAATGTGGCCTTTACAGCTCGTGTCCTCACCTGAGTCATAGTATCGCAGCTGGAACCAAAAGGATACAAGTGAGATATAAGAGACACAGAAAGAGAAAATGGCATGGCTTTTCAAACTGTATTTGAATACCTTCCTCTGTACCTTGGTTATATATGCTAAACTATGCCTGGAAGAATACACAAAAAATTAATGTTACTTGTTGCTTTTAGGAAGAACTAGGTGGCTTGGAGAAAGCACTGAGGGAAAGACTTATGTACTGTTTGAAAATTGAACAAATAAATGTATTACATCTTAAAAAATAGAATTAAGGCTGGGCATGGTGGTTTATGCCTGTAATCCCAGTACATTGGGAGGCCAAGATGGATGGATCACTTAAGCCTAGGAGTTCGACAGCAGGCTGGGCAATGTGGTGAAACCCTGTCTCTACAAAAACATACAAAAATTAGCCAGTCGTGGTGGTGCATGCCCGTAGTTCCAGCTACTCAGGAGGCTGAGGTGGGAGGATTGCTCGAGCCTGTGAGGTCAAGCTGCAGTAAGCTGAGATCCTGCCACTGTACTCCAGCCTGAGTAAGACCCTGTCTCAAAAAACAAAATAATAAAAAAAAAAGTGAAGTAACAACTGTAAAAAGTATATGTAACATATAAAAAGGGGGCTAATGTTTAGTAATATACAGAATTCCCAGAAATTGATAAGAAAAAGATAAACAATCTAGTAGAAAAATGCTCAAAATATCTCAACAGGCGAGTCACAGAGAAATACAAATGACTTATAAATATTTGAAAAGATGATCAACTTCATTAATCAAAGAAAAGTAAATGACAATGAGATTCCACTTTTGGATTGAGAAATATTAAAAATGGCTGATGATATCCAATAAGGTACTAGATCATCTCAAATACTGCCAGTGTGAATATAATTTGTTGGAAATTTTTTGGAGAACAAATTGGCAATATCAACTAAAATTTAGAATGCTTATGCCTATTGAAATATCTTTCCAGGCTGGGCGCAGTGGCTCACGCCTGTAATCCCAACACTGTGGGAGGCTGAGGTGGTGGATCACTTGAGGTCAGGAGTTTGAGACCAGCCTGACCAATATGGTGAAATCCCGTCTCTACTAAAAATACAAAAATTAGCTGGGCATGGTGGGCACTAGTAATCCCAGCTACTGGGGAGGCTGAGGCAGGAGAATCGCTTGAACCCAGGAGGCAGAGGTTGCAGTGAGCCGAGAATGCACCACTGCACTCCAGCCTGGGTGACAAGAGTGAAACTCCATCTCAAAAAAAAAAAAAAAAAAAGAAACACCTTTCCCACCTTTATAAAGTAGTCCTACAGAAATACTCCTATAAGCATGCAAAGAAAGATGTATGAAGAAGTTTCCTTCAGCTTTATCAGCTAAACATTGGAAAAGACATATTTGTCTTTCAGTGCAGCAGTGAATACATTAAATGACAATCCATCAATAAAATGGAATACTATAGAGCTTTTCAAAAACAATATGGAAGATCTATATGAGTTCATACAGAACTCATATAGGAAAACTGTTCAAGACATTTTAAAGATCAAGTTGCCAACAGCATGTAGATAAAAAATGATTTTTAAAGAACACAATAAATAGCTTAGCGTTTGACTACACAGGGGATTTTGAGATCTGTATGAAATGTTTGAATGTGGCATAATAAGCATATATTGCCTTTTGGAATAATAAAAAAAGGAAAAAAAAAATCATCCCAGCACTTTGGGAGGCCAAGGCGGGCAGATCACGAGGTCAGGAGATCGAGACCATCCTGGCTAACACAGTGAAACCCCGTACCCAGTCTCTACTAAAAATACAAAAAATTAGCTGGGTGTGGTAGCGGGCGCCTGTAGTCGCAGCTATTTGGGAGGCTGAGCCAGGAGAATGGCGAGAACCCTGGAGGCGGAGCTTGCAGTGAGCTGAGACTGCACCATTGCACTCCAGCCTGGGCAACAAGCGAGACTCTGCCTCAAAAAAAAAAGGAAAAATGTCAAAGAGACTGCTAGGGAATAAGCCTTATTGGGCCATAATCTGTGGATTTTACTCTCTAGTGTACATGGCAGGAAAGTGGTGCTTCTGACAATGTGGCTCTGGCCTGAGACTTTTCTCTGTCTCTCCTCTCAGGCATGGTATAAGCAGGGCTAAGTGGAAAAACTGTATCTTTCATGTTAAAGAAGTCCAGAAGACTGGTAAGAATGTAAGTATAATTTGATGTAATTGTAAATTATAGAAAAATTATGACGTTCTCCTATGTTATATTTAGAAGTTTAATGGAACTTTTTTACACAGTGTAGGCTCTATGATTTCAGAGTATAGCTCCCTAACAGGGCTTCCATTTGTATATTTGAACATAAATTATCTATATTGTCCCACAAAGACTCTGTAATCATTATGAAATTCCTTAAGTAGAGGAAAAGCTGGACCCCAAATATAGTCTTCATTTGGAAGGAGTCTTCTAGATGCAGGTCCAACCAAAGCACTGTATTATAGGAGTAACAGTTCAGGTTTTTCCTAACAGATTCCATTTTATAGTAAATGCATTGATAATCAAAATGTGTAACCCTCAGCCTCAAGGCTGAGTGGTCAATTCCAAGGTAGAGTAAGGCCTGCAGTCAGAACACAGGAGACCATGCAGCTCTCAGTAATGCAGGGTGCAGAGCTGCTGGAGGTTTGGGTAGGATTTCTCCCTTGAAATCACTGGAGTAAAGACTATGATGCTAAGGATTGCAGAGGCTGCTACAGGAATAGCTAAGAACCTAACAGTAGTCAAAAGATTTCTTGACATAGTCAGCAAGGTCCAGTCTAGTACTTGCCCATGATGAATTCCAAGTTTGGGTGGGCACATCCCCTTCTGCCTCTTTTGGGGCCCCTTTGCTCCCCTGTTGCTGCCATCTTTGAAGGGTAACAGTGCCTTCTTTACTAACCAGTACAGCAATGGGCACAGAGGTGGTGTTCGATAAATGTTTGTAGAATAAATTAATGCCCTCCGTTTTGAATGGATGCTTTCTGCTGCAAGGACAAAGGTAACCTGTATTCTGAGGAGTGTTCACAGGCACAGGCTTATATGTGCATGTATGCAACAGGCTGAAAACCTCAGGAATCCCCTCACCTGGGTTTTAAGATCAGGCAGCAAGAGATATCTGAGCATTAAAAAAAAGAGTTCTATTGCTGTATGCTCTGGGCTCGACTGTTGCTGCCTCAGCCTGCAAGTACCAGGCCAAGCTACTTGGGAAACTTCCTCGGAAGGCTATTGCCCTTACTCAGGGACATCTGGGGCCCTTGAGGAGCCTGCAGACTGCATATGAGAGGCACTAAAAAAGCAGTCTGTACATGAGGAATCTATCTGTCTGCTAGAGCCACATAATAGCCAGGGACTGGGACTAGCCTAGACAGAAATAATTTCTTTTGGCTTTAAGAGTATTACCTGATGTTTTGTTACATCCAAAACAAACCAACGGGGCTTCCAACCTTTCAGCAAAGCCCCTCTTTTATAAAGTGTTCCCTCAAAGGACCTAGAAGAAATGATGACAGGAGAGTTAATTTTGATTTACACTTACGAAATGCTGTAAAGGGGAGGGGATGTCTGTTGTTTTTGTCAAGTCTCTATTTCCCCTAGATGATCCAAAAATGGCCAATGAGAGTTCTCCCTGGAATTTTTCTACTAGACCTCTGGGGAAAGACTGCTGCTTTCTACTGGGATTACCACATCTGTGAGGCTTGGAATGATCAGTAGCCATCTTTTGTGCCATGCTGGGACTGACATAACACAGAGAGAGGGCAAAGCAGAGCCGGGAAATGGATAGAAGATACTGTGTGAGAAGCTAGCATACCCTTGACTGTCCTAGTTTATGTGAGTAAATTCCTTTTTGCTTCAGCTAGCATAAGCTGGATTTCTGATGTTTGCCACTGACAAAGTGCTGGCTAACACATATTCCCTCAAACGTTCTGGCAGACAGGAGAAAAGAGCCATCAGGACTCAACTACAAATAACTACAACCTCTTGGCATTATTTTTAGTTGTAATTTTTTTTTTTCTTTTCAAAGAGACATCTAAAACATTACAAAAGTTAAAGCAAATCCATTTCAAGTTTATAAAAGACTGTAGTGCACAGGCCTAGCTTATTGAGGGACCTGTGGTTTAGCCTCAGGTGGTGTGGGGAAGTCTTCAGCACACCGAGCAGGATTCAGCATGTCACCTGTTTTCCTCATTCTTGGATGTATACTGGCTATAGAGCGTGGCTGCTCTTCGCTCCACTCCATTGGATGGGGAGATGCTGGAATTCTGTTCCTCCCCCATGCTGCTGTCTGGGAGATGTAGCAGAGACCTCTTCTGATAGGAAGGTAGGTTGGTAGACACAATTCCTGGGGACCTCGACAGGTGTCTTTGGGACTGAAAAAGACAGGACAGGAGCTAGGAAATCTTTACAGACACTTAAGCCACTGACTGGAACATTTCATTTACAAATATTTATCTCAGGGAAAAAACTGGACGAATAAGCAATGATAATGTACAACAATATCAGTCCCAGAGTTAGTTATCTTGGTAAAAAGTGGAAACAACCTACCCGTCCATTATTAGGGACATTAAACAAATTATGGCATTTCCATACAGTGGAATTCTAGACAGCCATTAAAAAATGATGTTGCTATGGCCAGGCGTGGTGGCTCACACATGTAATCCCAGCACTTTGGGAGGCCGAGGTGAGTGGATCACTTGAGTCCAGGAGTTCGAGACCAGCCCGGGCAACATGAAGCCCCATTTCTACAAAAAACATTTTAAAAATGAGCCGAGTATGGTGATGTGTGCCTGTAGTCCCAGCGACTTGGGATGATCACCAGAACCCGGGAGGTTGAGGCTATAGTGAGCCATGATCACACCACTGCACTCCAGCCTGGGTGACAGAGTGAGACCCTATCTCAAAAAAAATAAAGATGATGATTTTTTTTTTGAGACAGGGTCTCACTCTATTGCCCAGGCTGGAGTGCAGTGGTGTGATCTTGGTTTACTACAACCTCTGCCTCCTGGGTTCAGCCTCCCGAGTAGCTGGGATTACAGGTGCACACCACCATGCCCAGCTAATTTTTTGTATTTTTTTTTTTTTTTTTTTTTTGAGACGGAGTCTGGCTCTGTCGCCCAGGCTGGAGTGCAGTGGCCGGATCTCAGCTCACTGCAAGCTCCACCTCCCGGGTTTACGCCATTCTCCTGACTCAGCCTCCCGAGTAGCTGGGACCACAGGCGCCGCCACCACGCCCGGCTAGTTTTTTGTATTTTTTAGTAGAGACGGGGTTTCACCATGTTAGCCAGGATGGTCTCGATCTCCTGACTTAGTGATCTGCCCGCCTCGGCCTCCCAAAGTGCTGGGATTACAGGCTTGAGCCACCGCTGCCGGCCGAAAAAGCAGGTTTAAAATAGTATGTCTAGTAAATCTCTTTTATATGTGAATTTGTAAAGGTAAAACAAGTTTGATAGCACAGTGGTTTACTTCTAGGCTATAAATTGTGGGTGATTCTCATCTTCTATTTTATAACTTTGTGTGTTCTTTCAAAAAAATGAACATTATTACTTTCATTATCAGAAAAAATCAATAAACTATTATTTTTCTAACAAAAAAGCATTAAGGCATCACCCACCTGTTGTCTGTCTGATAACAGCTCCTGAATTGCTATTTGAGGTTAAGAGATAGAGCCCCAGATGGTCTCTTTTTACCACAAAGGTTTTCTTCTACCTTCCATTCTTCTTGACTTTTCTGTAACATATGACCTGCTGGCCTCTTCTTCCTGAACTGTTCTTCAGAACACTCATCTATCCTAATTTCCCTTCTGTTGCATATGGAGCCAGTCTGATGTGGGTTCGATTGGTGGCTCTACCAGTTGCCACTGGATGATCTCTGTGCCTGTTCCTCACATAGGAGAGGGAATACCATTCCCTCACAGTGGATTAAATAGGATGCGAAGGTGTGTACCATATTAGATCAGAAATAGGAAATGGGGTATGAGAAGCAGAAAACAGAGTATTTCGTTTTATATATAAAATTATTTTTTTTTTTGAGATGGAATCTTGTTCTGTCACCAGGCTGGAGTGTGGTGGCGCAATCTCGGCTCACTCACTGCAACCTCTGCCTCCCAAGTTCAAGCGATTCTCCTGCCTCAGCCTCCTGAGTAGCCAGGATTACAGATGCCCAGCTACTTTTTGTATTTTTAGTAGAGATGGGGTTTCACCATGTTGGCCAGGATAGTCTCGATCTCTTGACCTCATGATCTGCCTGCCTCGGCCTCCCAAAGTGCTGGGATTATAGGCGTGAGCCACCTTGCCCAATCGTTAAAATATTTTTATGATAAATGTTTCTTAAGTCAGAAACAGAAAAGGGATTGTGAACAACACAAAGTGGCATACTTTGTTGTTTTAAAATACTTTCTGTGGAGCAAACATGGTCTTGGCATTCCCCTCCTCCCTCATGTGGTAGAAGATCAGCTGAAACCACACAGGCAGTGAGACAGGAAAGAACCCAATAATTTCCCTTGGATTTGGGGTGCTGAGACATAAGTAGTATGTCACTGTGGTGAAGTGAGACACTCAGGAAGTATTCAGTCATTTGGAACTTTCTGCCCTGGACCCCCAGGACATGACCCCTCCCCTTTCCACCCTTCCTTCTGGCCATAAACCCAGCTGGGTCTTGTCACTTGTGGCAGTGGGCTCCACCTGACTTAGCACCCTCAGAAAGCTCAGAAGTAGCTCTTAAGGGGCATTGCCAACTCACGCGATCTGTTCTTGGTTCTTCTTTAAGGTCCACGGTTACTCTTTCCCACAGCTGCTGCCACTTCTCAGGGGCTTGGTTCAATTTGTGCTCCAATTTTTCAATTTCCTGCAAATAAATGAAAAGCTTTCTGATCAGTATTTCATAGAAATCAGGACGTGCCCCAATGCCATAATGCTTCTGTACTAGGCCCAGGTGAGCAGCATGGCCAGAGGGCAGTTAAGTGGTGGACATGGGTCTGAGAGGTCTCCCAGCCAGGAACAGTGGAGAGAGCTCTAGCTGGTGTGCCGCACTGTGGCGAAGATGGTTTATTAGGACCTATAACTAGGCCTTTTTGTACAGGATAGCTTACCTACTAGAATGTGAAATCTGTATCGCAGACATCTGTACCCTTGGGCAGCCCATGGGAAATCTGATAGCCAAAGCAAGAGGTCAAGCACTGGCCCATGGCCCAGCCCTAATAGCTGAGGTAGATGAGAAGCCAGTCCTTGACAGGAGGAACCCCTCAACTCTGATGATTCAAACCAGATGTGGAAAGAATAAGCCAAGAAATACCCAAGGAAACAGATATACCTTCTGACAGAGAAGCTGGAGATCAGGGCAGCTGCCTCTGTGACAATATGACTACTGAAGCATACTCTTCCTGGTCAGGAAACCAGATGGGGAAGACTCTTTAGGAAGTGTCTGGCCTATATCAGGGCTCAAAGCTATTCCTCAGGCTGGCTACTGCCAGGAGGGGTTGGTTCCGGAACATTCCTTGCAGAAGATGGTTGGCAGCACTCCCATCAGGCCACTGACCACCCACACTTCTGACCAGAGGAAGTAAAGCACCCACAAAAGCCACAGCCAAGGCCTGACTAAGGCTGCTCAGGCAACTGAAACAGCTGGGAAGCTGCCGGAAGGAGTAAATTGCTCCATTTGCTTGATTGCTTCCTTGTAATGCTGGAAAATCACTTTTTTTTTTCCCCTGAGAGTCTTGCTCTGTCACCCAGGCTGGAGTGCAGCGGCTGTGATCTCCACTCACTGCAAGCTCCGCCTCCCAGGTTCACGCCATTCTCCTGCCTCAGCCTCCCAAGTAGCTGGGACTGTAGGCGCCCGCCACCACGCCCAGCTAATTTTATTTTATTTTATTTTTATATTTTAGTAGAGATGAGCTTTAGTTTTACTGTGTTAGCCAGGATGGTCTCGATCTCCTGACCTCGTGATCTGCCCACCTCAGCCTCCCAAAGTGCTGGGATTACAGGCGTGAGCCACCGCGCCAGGCCGGAAAATCACTTTTTTTCTTTTGAGACGGAGTCTCCCTCTGTCGCCGGGCTGGGGTGCAGTGGCGGGATCTCCACTCACTGCAAGCTCCGCCTTCCAGGTTCACGCCATTCTCCTGCCTCAGCCTTCCGAGTAGCTGGGACTACAGGCGCCCGCCACCTCGCCCGGCTAGTTTTTTGTATTTTTAAGTAGAGACGGGGTTTCACCGTGTTAGCCAGGATGGTCTCGATCTCCTGACCTCGTGATCCGCCCGTCTCGGCCTCCCAAAGTGCTGGGGAAAATCACTTTTATTGAGACTCTTTTCCAGTAGTGAAGCCTGGTCCCCCACTGATGATAGGGAGCAAATCTGGTTTCTTCATACACGGAGGGTGCTACCATAACCCTAGCCCAGAGTCAGCAGAGCCATGTTCAGAAGTTTGTAAACCATTCTTAACTTAGCCTGGTTCCTTTGGCCTCGTGCCTCCAGGGCCCCTGGTGCCCCAGGTTGACTTACACTGAAAAGGCTGGTGAGAGCATCGGGCTGAGTACAGCTGACATCATCATAGCACGGCCACACTGTTCTCCTCTGGCTCCGCGGCCCAGCTTCTCCAGCCAGGTCAGAGTCTTCGGAGGGGAAATGCTTGGGGGTTAGCATCATCCAGTCATAGGAAGGGCCTGTGGACAGGGTCTCTTCTATGTAGTAATCCCACTTCTTGAGGCTGGAGACATTTACATTGGGCTTTAGAGCCTGTTAAAACAGAAATATAGTTTCATCTTGACCCCAAAGTACCCCAAGCTCACTGTCAGGCAAACCCCTAACATTTGTAGAGTCCAGAGGAGGAAGAGTATGAGTGGACTTCAAATACCATATGTCTAAATCTTAATTTAAAAGTCATACATCAAGATAAATTATTAAATAAAACATCTTCCAATCCTCCCTCCTACATTGAGAAATGTAACTTCCTAATGACCTAGAAGGTCAAGTTCAATAGAGAATTCTTGGATTCCTCAGAATTTTATACTAACAAGTGGTGGCACTGGGAGAGCTCACCCCAGCCCCCTGTCCTGGGCCTCTCTTCTCCTCCCACCCCTATCTTTATTCTAAGGGTCTTACATGAATGATTATGTATACCCCAGCCCACAAAGTCAAACTCTGTCCACTCTGTCAAACCTGCTACTTTTTGCCATTCTTTGGGCCTTGGGGTCCATGTACTAACATAGGAGACTGACTTGGAGAAGTAGCCTGGTGAGCAGCCTGAATTTGGGCAAAGAATTCTGAAGTGCCCAGACAGAGCATGGTTAGATGAAGGAGGGGCATTTAACCATGTACCTTTGGTTTCTTGTACTCCTCACCTCATGAGGAGGATGCAGCTGGAGGAAGGCCAGACTAGGGTTCTATGATTGGGGCCCAGGGGAGGGACCTCTCTTGGCCCTAAGTAATGGTGGAACTGCTTATCAGACCAATCTGTTCCATTCCAGGGTGTGTGTTATGTAGATGTGCATGGTGGGGCACAGTTGCCTTGAGATATGTTATCCTTCTTGGTCTCAGCTCCAAACATCTCTGCTTCCTATAGGGGTCCTTCCATGGCTTTGGTACAGATAGACTTAAAGAAACTTTTTCTAAAGTATTTTAAGGTTTTTCAGCTTAGACCACCTGTTGATATTTCAAATTCTGTTAGTTCTTTCTTTCTGGGGAAAGTTGCCTTGCTTTGATTCTCTAGAAGTTTTCCCTTCTAGGTTTTGGGAGCCAGCTCTTAATTTTTGTGGCAAGAATTTAGGCAACAGTCTTCATTTGTGTCACAACCCAAACCTATAATGTCTAAACTTTGACATAGCTTTTTGGTATGAAACCTAGTCCAATGTTTATAAAAAGCTTAAACAGCTTATATATGTTAAAACTAAGGAAAACCTTAACACAAAATTTCAGAAAATTAAACATAAATGATTTCTTACTCTACCTCTATTTCCAATGGTGAATATAAATAATTAAAGAAAATGGGACTCCTCTTGTGCATTCTGTCAATACACTCCCAAATACAGATTCCCTTTTTGGCATGCTTTTCTCCTTTATCATCAAATAAAGTTCCTGTAAGTTAAAAAAAATCCAACAAAACAAAATTCAATAAATTTTAACACTTTGCCAAAAAAAAGTATGATGCATGTAGCAGATAAAAAAGTGGAATTTTTTTATGGCTTTAAAAACAGCAACATTTGTGCAAAAACGTTAGAAAATAACTGCAAAGCTAAAGACAGGAATGAATTTCATAGCTATAGGCAAACAAATCCAGATGGAGGAAACATCTGATGAAGTTTGCCTCAGCAACCAGCAGTCTATCAATCATGACTCTTCCAACCCTCCTCCTGCATCTATATCTAGATTCAAAGAAGTCCATGCAGGAGGCGGTCTATAGTTTTCAAGAGGAAATGGAAGGACTTCAGAGTTGATTCGATGAAGCTCAGTAAAAAACATAATTTTATGTTTCTCTTTTAAGTTGTTGGCTGTTTATTATGAAGCCATTTAAAGTGTTTTCTTGTTTAGGAGTTTATATATACCACAGATCATGGTTACTGAGACTCTAGATGACAGAAGGGTGTAGTCTGTGTCCTTGGGTGATTTAAAAATAAAAGCAGAACTTTTATACCTTTTTCAAATAGTCAATCTATTACTAACATGAGCCCACTTTGTTTTTAATAGGGAGGAAAATGTGTTGGGGTGAGGCAAAAAGTAGTTCTTTAAAAGGCCATGAAGGGTGTCTCAGCAGTGGTGTCTTGCTTGGAATGAAGTGACTCAGTCAAAATCAACATGCATTTTACCAGTTTATATATATAAAAAAAAAATGTCTCAAGCCCCAGATGGCATGAAATTCATAATATGTGGGGCCCCTAAGACTAATTAACAGTTTCTTCTCTACCTTTTAACTGCAGGATCCAGTGCAGTAGTTCTCAACCTTGGATGTACATTTGAAAAACCAAGGGCTTTAAAAAAATCCCAATGCCCAGGTCTCACCTCAGACCAATTAAATCGGAACCTCTGGGGATGGCCCGAGATATTAGTTATTTTAAAAGTTCAAGTGACTCCAATGTCCAAAGTTGCGACTGCTCTAGGGGTCGCAGTAAGATTTGGACAGCCACCTTGTATATTGCTCCATTTGGTGCCTTGAGGCATGGATTAGACTGAAAGGCTGTGTGGTAGTCAGCCCCAGCTGAAATAGGCTCTAGGCACCTTTGTAGACAGAAACAGAATGAGCTGAAACCAGAAGAGGAGATGCAATACCTGGCCCTCTGTTCCTCAGGGCTATTGTAACACCTTGTAATTGGAACCAAGTCCAGTGGACTTTTCTTACAATATCCATATGGCTGGCTTAGGGCAACATGTACACATATAAGGAACATCTTAAAAATAGTCCAAATCAGACAGCTAGTGCCAAATACTATCACAGTCCAAATCAGACAGCTAGTGCCAAATACTATCAAATTGCAACCCCATAATCCAGTATGTAATAATCAACATATTAAACTTTTAGGACACAGGATAATTCATTGTGTTTAAGTTTGTCTGCTAAAGATCTTAAAAATTATGACTCAGCATGGTACGGTGGCTCACGCCTGTAATCTCAGCACTTTGGGAGGCTGAGGCAGGTGGATCACTTGAGGTCAGGAGTTTGAGACCAGCCTGCCAACATGGTGAAATCTCTCTCTACTAAAAATACAAAAATCAGGCGGGCATGGTGGTGGGCACCTGTAATCCCAGCTACTCGGGAGGCTGAGGCAGGAGAATCACTTGAACCCAGGAGGTGGAGGCTGCAGTGAGCTGAGATTGTACCACTGCACTCCAGCCTGGCAACAATGTGAGACTCCATCTCAAGGAAAAAAAAAAATTATGACTGATGAATTCTACCAGCAGTGGTTGAGATTACTTACTTTATCATCTTGGCATATAGAGGGTAGCTACCACAGCTGTTCCTAAACAAGGTTTCACTGTAGACTTGATAACGAGTGCATCTACCAGCACACAAGAAGGAACAGACCTCAAGTAGGCAACCTAGCCTGGACTAGGGACACAAATCCAGGCTTCTTTGATGCTGATTAGATAGGTGGCCTAACATCCAGAGAGGAGGCTGGGTAGATGATTTCTACTGAGCCTTCGGCAATGACATTCTAGGATTTGAAATGCATGTTTATGTGTTATTGTTTTTGAAACAGGGTTTCAACCCTGTCACCCAGGCTGGAGTGCGGTGGTGTGATCTCGGCTCACTGCAGACTTGACCTCCTGGGCTCAAGTGATCCTCCCACCGCAGCCTCCTGAACAGCTGAGACTACAGGAGTATGCCACCACACCCAGCTATTTTTTGTGTGTGTTTCTTTTTCTTTTTCTTTTTTTTGAAGAGATGGGGTTTCGCCATGTTGCCCAGGTTGGTCTTGAATTCCCTGGGGCTCAAACAATCTGCCCACCTCAGCCTCTCAAAGTGCTAGGATTATAGGTGTGAGCCATTGCACCCAGCCTGTGTTTTTGAGTTTTAAGAGGAAACGTGTTTCATAGGATGGAAATGCTTATATTTTCCAATAATCATGATAATCTTCCAATATATACCAAACGTATCCTTTTATCTGCATCATTTTATTTAATCTTTTCAACAGCCCTGTGTGATAGGTAGGGCTATTTAGTTTTTCAGATGCGGAAACAGATGAAGTAATTTACCCAAAGTTACTGACATTTTCTGACTCTTGATCTATGGCTCTACCCGTGGGACCAGTGGTGGGTCTCCGACTTGGCAGCATAATGGGCTCACCTGGGGAGTTTTTATTTTTTATTCTTTATTTTTGAGACAGGGTCTCACTCTGTCACCCAGGCTGGACACTGCAACCTCTGCCTCCTGGGGTCAAGAAATTCTTGTGCTTCAGCCTCCCAAATAGCTGGGATTATAGGCACATGCCACCACGCCTGGCTAATTTTTGTATTTTTAGTAGAGATGAGGTTTTGCCATGTTGGCCAGACTGGTCTGGAATTCCTGGCCTCAAGCAATTCACCCACCTTGGCCTCCCAGAGTGCTGGGATTACAGGTGTGAGCCACCGTGCCTGGCCTTACCTGGGGAGTTTTAAAAGCTATTGGTGCCTGGGCCTTACCATCACAGATTCTGATTTCAGTGGTTGGGGATGTTGCTTGGACCTTAGAAGTTTTAAAAGCTCCCCAGGTGATTCTAATGTTCAGTCAAGCCTGAGAACCACTGCACTAGACCTTGTTGCTTCTCTAATGAAGAGAACAGTCATCTGCTATAGGAGAAGCCTTGGTCTTTGGCCACATCTGCATGCTGCTAAGGTAATTTGCTGATCAGCTTAATTCAGCAAAACAAACTGCTTTGTTAAAAAACCAAAAACCTAGCCTGGGCAACATGACAGAACCCCATGTCTACAAAAAATAAAAAAATTATGTGAGCATGGGGGCACGTGCCTGTGGTCCCAGCTACTCAGGAGGCTGAGGTGGGAGGATGGCTTGAGTTCCAGAGGCAGAGGCTGCAGTGAGCCGAGATCCTGCCACTACTGCACTCCAGCCTGGGAGACAGAGCGAGACCCTGCCTCAAAAACAAAACAAAACAAAATAACCCCCCCACCCCACAAAACAAAAAAACAAACTCCCAAAAAACACAACTACTCCAGGGAGGCAAATACCTGCGTTTTACTCCCACCAATATTTGTACATGTTGTTCCTTTCAGTGATAAAGCTGAGTGACATGGTGACCCCTGTAGGTACAGGTCGGTCCACTTAAGACCAGACCTGGCCAGGCACGGTGGCTCATGCCTGTAATCCAGCACTTTGGGCGGCTAAGGCAGGCAGACTGCTTGAGGCCTGGAATTCAAGACCAGCCTGGCCAACATGGTGAAACCTTGTCTCTACTAAAAATACAAAAATTAGCTGCGCATGGTGGCACGGGCCTGTAATCCCAGCTACTCGGGAGGCTGAGGCAGGAGAATTGCTTGAACCTGGGAGACAGAGGTTGCAGTGAGCCAAGATTGCACCAATGCACTCTAGCCTTGGAGACAGAGTAAGTGAGACTCAATCTCAATAAAAAAGGAAAAAAAAAAAGATCAGGCCTGGGGCAGTTGTAACCAACTATACTTACTACCTTCCCAATAAGCAGTATGCAGATGCTTAAGAAATTAAGGTTTCTGATTGTGATGTGAAGAATAACAATTCCATGAGTTAACAAAGGACTGGAAGTATAAATAGGATGGGAAATGGTCTCACCAGTGCTCTTTACCTTATCAAAAGTATGAAATATCATACTAGACAATTTCAATAGGATGCCCTGGAAAGCAGTATTTCCTGATTTCAGATTTCAAACTGAGAACATCAGTAAATATTTTCTTGGAATTAAGAGTCCTCTTTATGATACTGAGTGCATATAATATATTGAACAGAGCTGAGTTTTGTTTGCTTGTCTTAACAAAAATAGTCATGTGTTTCCTCTCCCCCTGTAACAGTTACAAAAGAATGTAAAATCCCCTTGGGAAATGTTTTTACCAGGGCTGACTTTCAGAATCTACTCATTACAACTATCACTGCTATTAAAAAAATAGTTCATCACTATCATTAATAATGCTAGCGATGTCTAAAATTTACTGAGTGCTTACTATGCGGTAGTGACTGTGCTAAGAGACTAAGTGACTGTGTGAAAAGTTTACAACTATTTTCTCATGTGATCACCATGGCCCTGACAGGTGGGATAGTATCACTGTCCTCGTTTTAAAGATGAGGAAACTGAGGCTCAGAGAGGCATTTAACCCCTCCCCAAAATACTCAGTTGGTGCTGGGATTTTACCCTGGTCTGTTTGGTCCAGACCACAGGGTCTTAGCTGCTATTCAAGCTGTCTCCAAGGGCAGGCACCCTTCCTATCAGAGTGCATCAGGGTTGGAAAAACTATGAGTCAAAGTTCCTTCTCAAACAGTGTGATCACTTTGAGGTATCACAATAATAAACATTTTAATTTTACAAAGATGCTATAGGAATGACCGCCTGCTAAGAGCTAACATGGTACATAATTTCAGAATTTGGCCACTTATCCACTCTACATTCATAGTTCAGAGTTAAACCTTAACTCAGCTTGTCACTCTTGGGAGTAGTTACATTATTAGAATTTTCATTAAAAACATGCAGAACCAACAAAAAAGATGAAACAAGGGCATACAAACACATACCGTGCTCTAATCTTTCATAGTCTGAATCCAGGAGAAATGTTTTAAAGCGATTAGACACATAGTGGAAAGCCAAGAACTTTAAGTAATAGAGATTGAATTCAAACTCAGTTGGATACTGGTTGTGAACCTGAAACACACAAGGCAAAGAATAGAGTAAGAATCAAACAGAACAAAAAGGGATGCCAGGCCACTGAAGGCTCAACTGAAACATGCAGGAGACCATTCAGTCATTCACTCAACAAATACCTGAATCCCTACCATGAGTAGCGATGGGAAGGGAACCAGCTTTTCCAAGCACTTACTATGTGCCAGACACCAGACGAGGTTTTTTTTTTTTTTTTTTTTAAATAAACATAATCTCATTTAATCTCTATGTATAGCAAGAGAGGCATTATTATCTCCACTTTACAATTGAGAAAGCAAAGGATCAGCGAGATTAAGACATTTACCCGATGATATTAAACAGTAATTAGCGAGCCCAAATTCAACCCTGGCTTATTAGGCTCCAAAGTCTCTACCCCACTTACTACCTTATACTGTGCTTGGCACGTGATAGATATATATTAAGTTATGGTTCTTGCTTTCCAGGTAACTGTGGTGTAATAGTGTGACATACAACAAGAAAAACTATTCTTACAGAAGTTTAGCAATGAAAAGGATTGAGAAGAGAAGGTGGTGGCTTAAGGGGACAGCAAGAGATGTTTTCTGGTCAAAAGAAATGTGTGTGTGTCTGAAGGCAATTCAGAAGGAGCCAACAGAACACATTTTAGAAAAATTTGTTAGCTAATAACTAAGATAATAAGATCCTAGAAAAGCAAGAATGAATGAGGCTTGGGCCCAGATTTAGGGAACAGTTTTGGAAACAGGGAGGGCTGAAAGGTAGGCAAGAGAAAGACAGTTCAAGTGCCCAGGGAAAAGGCAGGAGCTAATGCCTTTTAGCTCTAATTTTTCATCAGTAAATTAGGCAGTGAGGTCGCTGGGCACAGGAAAAGGAATGAGTGAATGACACGGGAGGTAGAAGGCTGGGCAAAGCTTAGAATGGTCATTGAGCCATAGCATGCTTTAGGCAAACCGTATACAGACTGTGGAGCCATCTCACGTTGGCAGAGGGTAGGCTGATGATCCTGTGAAACTCCCCAGCCCGCCTCGCAATCTCACCTCTATATTGCTCAAACAATCTCTCATGACCAGCTAGAAAATTTTGTTTGGTTGAAATAAGTTCCAGTCATAACTGCACTTGCTTAAAACATGGTTCAAATGAACACTAAGGCAAGCTGTCTAAAAGTCAGCGTTCTCCTCCAAGTTTAATTTGGCAATACGGCCCTGTAGTCAGTCAGCTGGGTCAGCCAGAGTGAGCAGGCATGTGTGTAGTATGTTGACTGTCCAGTGGACCAATGGGAATTTAAAGTTATGATCTGGACATTGATTTATCAAAATTTATCATCTGGTTAGGAACCTGGTTTTCTGTGATGATTAAAGGGCTTTTTTTCCTACATTTTCTTATTGGCTTTTTAATTGAACTAAAATTTTAGCTTGTAAGTAATGCAAAATAAGATGGATTTTAGGAAGATGCATTAAAAAAGTTTGACTCCTATGCAGTAGGCCTGCAAACCATGAAACTGCTTCCTTGATGTGAGCCAATGCCTTCCTGTTGCATCAGATCTCCACAGGACAGCAGAGCTTTCCATGGGACATGGTTCTGAATAGGTAGGTAGTGTGCCATACTCCAGGTTTTTAGAACTGCAAGCATTTGTATTAAGTATGAGTTTTCTCCTCAGTGAAAATGAAGGGATAAGAAATCATGGGTTTCCTATGATCATGTAATATGAGCAACTAATTATAAAAACTGGCTGGGCACGGTGGCTCACGCCTGTAATCCCACCACCTTTGGGAGGCCAAGGTGGAAGGATCTCTTGAGGCCAGGCGTTTGAGACCAACTTGGGCAACATAGTGAGACCTTTTCTCTACAAAAATTAAAACCATTAATCAGGTGTGGTGGCACGTGCCTGTAGCCCCAGCTACTCAGGAGGCGGAGGAGGAGGATCGCTTGAGTCCAGGAGTTCGAAGCTGCAGTGGAGCCGTAATTGTGCCACTATACTCCAGCCTGGGTGACACAGTGAGACCCTGTCTCTGAATGAATGAATGAAAAAATGATAAAGGCTAAACTTGAATAGTTTATAGTTACAATAAAACAAGCAGATCTGACACATAATTAAGGATCAATATTAAAAAATACCTTTTATTTCCTTGTTTTGTTAGCCTTCTATGTGTGTCTCAGTAGTCAACCATGTCCCTTAATACAGCAATTCTCATTCAAATGCTTGCCCCTACTAATACTTATGCACAGCAAAGAAGGCCCTGGGTTTGACTCTCCAGTGGGCCTGGTTCTCTGGCCTTCCTGGCTCCTTCCTTAAGCATTGCTCAGACCTCAAGTTTCCCCTCAACCTGTCCTGTAATGCCATACAGAGCTCTCCACTGAGCTGTGGCTTTGGAATCAACAGCCCCACCCCAAGGGGCCAGTGATGGACAGGGGGGTGACTCAGATTGTGGGTGCTGGTACAGAAGAAGGGGACAGGGAAACTGAGGATGGAACTTGGTTCCCTACCATCAGTCCAGGGAGGAGAAATCTGCAGTGTGCTCAGGCAGGGTGAGCTCCAAGGGCAACTGCCCCAACAGCCCTTGGAATAAATCTTCAGTAGTCACAGGTCAGCCCCTCGCTCACTGTTTCCAGGGAAGGAAGAGTTCTTTCCACTGATCCAGTCTACAATATGTTCTAAAATCTCTTTTAAAAATCTTTATTAAAGCCTCAAGGGCCAGGCACAGTTGCTCACGCCTGTAATCCCAGCACTTTGGGAGGCTGAGGCGGGTGGATCACGAGGTCAGGAGATTGAGACCATCCTGGCTAACATGGTGAAACCCTCTCTACTAAAAATACAAAACCAAAACTAGCTGGGTGTGGTAGGGGGTGCCTCTGGTCCCAGCTGCTCAGGAGGCTGAGGCAAGAGAATGGCTTCAACCTGGGAGGCAGAGCTTGCAGTGAGCCAAGATTTCGCCACTACACTCCAGCCCGGGCGACAAAGCGAGACTCTGTCTCAAAAAAAAAAAAAAAAAAAAAAAAAAAAAAATCTTTATTAAAACCTCAAAATAACATTTCTCTCAATGACTGTTCTCCACAGAAACCACATGCCTCATACATACTTGTATCTTTTCTTGATTATTCTGATATTTAATCTACTCAGGAATACAATTTTAAAGAACCACTTCTGAGGTAAAAGTAGAATGGAAATGATAATAAATATGATCTTAAGTTGAACTTACAGGCATTTCAGAGAGATCATAGACTCAGATTAAAAGTGAAATTTCTTTACAAGTCAAAAAATGCTTTCATAGCCCAGTATATTGGTCTCACCACAAGCCCTCTACAATTACGCTAGAAAGGTTAGACAATTTTCCAAGGCCTCTGCACCCACTCCACTGGGACAGAAATGGGTGCTTGGGGAGAGCATCAAGGTGTATACACCTGGGGGCACTATGCTTGTGTCCTCCTGTGTGCCACAGAAGCACCTCCAGTTGCTGTTTGGGGTTGAAAAACAATCTGCCCCCAAACTGGGGTTAATGATCAGGTCTACTGGAAGTGGAAGAGAAGATGCCGAGCAATTTGTTTTTTTACTCTTCAGCAATAAAGTAACAAGCATGTAAGCATTTCTTTGGTGGAAAAGAAAAGTCAGACAGACCTCAAGGCTGGGTTGATTAGTACCTAGATACTATGTTTAGAATCTGACATTAAGAAAAATAAGGAATTTTCTGAGATGTCTTTCTTCCATCATGTATGAAGAAATGAGGAGATGGCTGAACTCTTACTGGTGCTTAGATTTCTAGGAAGCAAGGAAAATCATACTTTCTCCATTGAGTCCTGCACCCCAGTGACACAGTTTGTCCACTTCATTGGCTTCTTTTCCTCTTTGCCAATGGAACTCACCTAGACTCTTGTGATTTTAATTTGCATTTTCTAATGAAGAGTGATGTCAAGTATCTTTTCATGTGCTTATTTGTATCTTTGGTGAAATCAGTACAAATGTTTTGCGCATTAAAAAAAAATAAGTTGTTGGCCGGCACAGTGGCTCATGCCTATAATTCTAGCACTCTGGGAGACTGAGGTGGGTGGATCACTTGAGGTCAGGAGTTTGAGACCAGCCTGTCCAATATGGCAAAACACCATTTCTGCTAAAAATGCAAAAATTAGCCGGGCGTAGTGGTGCACACTTGTAATCCGAACTATTTGGGAGGCTGAGGTGAAAGGATTGCTTGAACCTGGGAGGCGGGGTTGCAGTGAGCCAACATTTTGCCACTGCACTCCAGCCTGGGGGAAAGAGTAAGACTCCATCTCAAATTTAAAAAAGGTTGTTTTCTTATTATTGAATTTTAAGGTTTCTTTATGTATTCTAGATAAATTCTTCAGCAAATATATGGTTTACACATATTTTCTCCCACTGTGTGATTTGTCTTTTCATTTGTTTAACAGGGATTTTAAAAAAAATTATTTATTACGTTTTTTTAAGAGGTGGGGTCTTGCTGTGTTGCCCAGGCTGGTCTTGAACTCCTGGGCTAAACTGATCCCACCTTGGCCTCCCAAAATACTGGGATTATAGGCGTGAGCCACCATACCCAGGATCAGCCTTATAATAAGGAACAGCCTTATAATATCTGTAGAATCTGTAGTGACGTCATCTTTCTCATTTCCAGTGTTGGTAATTTGTGTCTTTTTTTTCTCAAGCAGTCTAGCTAGAGGTTTATCTCTAGCTATATCAATAAATATTTATATCAATAAATATTCTCAAAGAACAGCTTTGGTTTCATTAGTTTTCTTTATTGTTGGCCACAAGATTTTGGGGGCCTAAAGGCAATGTGCTTCAAATAAATGTAGCTTTATTATATTATATAGAATTGGGAATGATAGGTATTTCAGCTAGTAAATTAATTCTGTGTCAGCATTTCCCTAAGTATGGTGATGAACAGAGTTTTAGACTTCTCACAGGCATCATCTGGATTTTGTTGTTCAAAATAATTTTGTATTTATTTTGTTGCAGGTTAAAAAGTAGATAGATTTAAAAGACTAAACTGCATGAA